GAAATGCTGTTCGTTATCTTCATATATTTTCTTTTTAAAGCAAATTTAGATTGTCATCAATATTTATTTGATGAATTACATTTTCAGCATATAAGGGAAAGAAAAGATGTGACATAAAACAGGACATGATGATTTATCCTTAAGATTATTTTCGCTAGCCAAGGGTATCTGATACGCTACTCAAGAGAGAGGCGTATCAGGAACCCTTGGCTAGCGAAGATGTTTCAGATACGAAGTCAATTTAAATGGGTTTTTTTTCTATATAAAGAAAATCTCTTAGGTAATAGTCAAATCAAATTTATTTGGAATGCATTAAAAAATTTATATCGGAGACTTTGTTGTATTATATTATTTTGAGATTTCCAAAATGACGTTTTTAATTTGTCACCCTAAATTTCATTCTTATTTTACTTCAAGAATAAACAATGAACATAAAATTCCAAAAATACCGATGGTTTCTTTCCTAAACTCACGACTGAAGGGAAGGAACAGATGCTTTTGGATCCTGAAACTAAAAATTCCCAAATTCTAGATTACAATTTAGATTAGATGATTTAATATTCATCCTCAATAGTTCTTTAAACAAAAGAAATTTGCGGCAGAGTAATCGTGGTCCTCAAAAACACCAGAAATGGAATCAGGTGCCATTTACCAAATACACTTTGTAGGAATAAATCTACAATTTCGCCTTGGGAAATGGGTTAGATCAATCTTATTAAAAGCAGACTTCTTAGATCCGCGCCGTATACACTCTGCGTAAGAGTGTATTCAGCGCGGATCTAACAAGTCTTATTTTAGATTGTGGGTTTGATATATTAAAATGTTTCAGTGTAGCTTAACCTAGCGGTCAGCTTGATTACAACAAATGATAATTGATATATTGAAGTTTTTTATCTCGTTAAAGAGTAATTCATTGATGGTTGAAACATAGTTCTGTTAGGCTCGCTCCTCGGAGGAATTATATAGAGATATACTTTGAAATTATGACTATAGTTTATTACACGTTATTTTACCTGTATATTTATGCATCTATGTCTTTTATTATCTCCATTGCATTTGCATGACACCGCGCTAAAAAGATCAATAAATGTAAATATTAAAATGGTACATATGTGTGTTATTTTGAGGATCAATTTTTTGATATCGGGTATCAAAACTATACAGTTTATGTAATGTGATAAAGTCATTAACCTTGGTTTCATATTTTATTTACTTTAAATTCATATTAAAGGCAGATTAAATGACATATAATACATATAATAAAAATAAGATATACCTACTTAGACGTTTACTTTAATTTAACGATATATATACATATACAGTTTGCACTCTGTGATGAATATATTTATTATTCCCAATCAGGGCTCATAAAAGCATTTAATTATAATAATCGATTATTAAATAGAGCATTAAGTGTAATTATAATTATTACAAATGTAATGACAGTAGCATTCAGCACTATTTTAACATATTCTTCGTCCTTCTACACATGGTTGAAAAGTTATTTATAATCAGATAATTATTGCTAACATATCATTGCTAACATGTAAAATATAAATAAAAAATTGTTAAGTAACATGTACCACCATGTACCATTATGCAAAAATGCATGCTACATACTCAATGCTAGCATAAAATATAACGTGGTATATTTTATAAATATCTATGTCAAAATTACAAAAGATACGACAATGCTTTGGTACTTTATAAGTCACCAGGTTTACATATCTCATGACTAAACAAACATGCATTGACTGCCGAAGATATACATGTATTGCTCCCTTGATCAACCCACAGAGGGATTTTAGAACATCAAAAAATTTACAATTCATCTCCAACTTGGTAAGAAGAATAATTTGTACAGGTTTCTGTTGCCCTCAACTTTGTAGTTACTTTGTGTTGTTCAGGTGATAATAGTGATAGGCAATTTTCAAAAACCAAACTAGTTTCTTAATTTTATATAATTTTCATGTTTTTTCCCCTTTGTAATTTTTTCATATGCACCATTCATATGTATAATGATTGCAAAATAATTCCCTGTTTTATGTTTTGAAATGTAATGGTTTAGCCCAGCATATGAAGGAATAAACATACCATAAAACGCTACATGTATGACTGAGGTTTACATGTGTAAGCTTTGAGCTTACTTTGAAGGTATGCCTCATTTAATAATGGGAAAGAAATCTATAGATTTTCTTTATGGTTAAAACGATGAAAATCTTTGTAGATTCATAGTGTAAACATACTTATATTAACACCTAGAGACTCTTGACGGTACCAATAAATTCTACATTTAAATCTTATTGGGAAAATAATAACATTTATACTATATGAATACAGTATGGATGATTTGTATAGTAAGAATCCCAACGAAGAGCACTTACCTGTACGCATCAGGAAAGATGACATTTGATGAAATGTCGTAAGACCTTTCAAAGCTGCAGTTATCCTGTTCATTCTGTCAAAAGTATTTGAATATACTTTATTATACAGGTAATAGATAGTCTGTAGTCTGTAATTGAAACTTAAAAGTCTAGAGACTTGCCAAACATTTCTAATTTATTTTTGATATAGTAAGGACGGGGGTGGGGGCATTTCTAGAAGGGCACTTGTAGGGGATGGGGGGTTTGAATTTCCATTACTTGAGAATGTCACTAAATCAATAAATCATATATGTATATCTTTGACATACTTGAACAGAGGATTTTTAAAGTTATTTCCAACATATAAATTGATTTCCCATTGTGACCTCTCCCCTCACCCCAGAACACTATTTGAATAAATTTAAATCATCACTACTTGCAGATGCTTACATGTCAATGTAACTTAACAAAACTTTTCTGTTCTGGAGAAGATTTTTTTCCTACGTATCCTTGCACAATTCTTTGATCCCTCACTCTGGCCTCACCCTAACCCCGGGGGTCATAATTTGAACCAACCTTAATCTAAACCACCTTCCATTAGTTTTATATATAAAAAGTTACTAATCATGGATTTGGTGTTCTCCAGAAAATTTTAAAAGATATTTTCAGCATATATTCAGCATATATTCATATGTAAAAATTGATCCAAGTTTGTGTCCCCACCCTACCCCCAAAAATTTTGATTTGAACAATCTTGAAATTATACTACATGAGGATGCTTCGATATATAAATATCATACCAGGGCTTTGCCGTTCTTGAGAAGATTTTTAAAGTTTTTTCCTACATATTTCTATGTAAATCTTTGATTGCCCATTATGGCCCAGCCCTACCCCCAGACGTCATGATATGAACAAACTTGAATTAACTCTAACTAAAGATGTTGTCCATTAATACCACCAATCTAGGCTGATTTTGAAGAGAAGATTTTAAAAAGATTTTTCAAGCGTATTCCTACGTAAATCTTTGATCAGCCATTATGGCCCACCCTATTCTCGGGGGTCATAATTTGAACAAACTTGAATCTACACTACCTGAGGATGCTTCCAAATGTTTCATCTTTCCTGACCCAATGGTTCTGGAGAAGAGGATATAAAAGGATTTTTCCTATATATTCCTATGTAAAACTTTGATCAGCCATTGTGGCCCCGCCTTACCATCTCGGGTCATGATTTATAAAAACTTGAATCTACACTGCCTGAGGACAAATTTTGATCAGAAAAGCTCACCTGAGCTTATTTGATGCGATGATCAAATAAAGCATTTACTACAATGCGATGGAGCAATAAAGACGACGGTGTAGCCATAAATGAGGTGGCAAGCGTGTTAAACCACGATGATTCGATGAAGATGGTGCAGTGGCAAGCAAGAGCGATAGCGCAAAGACGTAAAATACCATTACTTGATGGTCTGATGACGATATCGATTAGCAATGAAAAGTTATGATGTTTAAAATCGATCACATTGTCATTGTATTATCGTGCATCGCGTTATCATCACCGCGCTATCGCACTGTCGCTAAATCGCAATTGAAGCATCGCGTCATAGTCGGCGCATAATTATTTCGTCAGTCGGTTTGCGACATGGTGCAAAGGTGAATCTCTCCAGGTTCTATATTCTTTTATTTTATGGTAACAGGTGCGTATATCTTCCACCCAAATATCCATTAAATAGATAAGGGTGTTCGTTGCATAGTTCCTACGTCGATTTAGCAAGACATATTACATTTTCTTTCATAAATTTACTAGTACTTGACAGTTGCGTCATGAAATATCGACAAATTATCCTAAACAACCCTTAGTGTAAATTGTATTGGAGAAAAAGATAAAATTATTACCGATTTACATTTATATATGAATATCTTAATTTCATAGAAAGGGATATTCCAATTTTGGTATCCTTATAGTTCGAAGAACCAAATGGGACAGACAGGCAAACAGCTAGACAGACGGACGGACGAGATGGAAACTTAAAGCCCTTCAACTCTTGTTTCACCGGTTTGGGACTAATAAAGCACCAGTAACTATTAAAGTAATTTTCATCCAATGAAACATCTTTTCCACATTTTTTTTGTGTGTTTAAAAATTTATCAAGAGTAGGTATCAATGAAAGAAAAACCTAGTGAATTTAACTAGTTTGCCTCGTAAAGTGTTTAGATTATTTGTCATATGAAATTAGTAAACTATCTTTACTGGTTAAGATTGTGAATTGTGGAGAGAGGTCGTTTAGATATTAAACACCTTGTAGTAAATATGCCTTATACCTAGTAAAACTACTTTCAAGGTAGTGATTGTATGGACAGTAAATTAACTAGTTTTCTAGACTAAGTTATTTTTTGACACTGTATCTTCAAATAAGATGTAAATCATTTTAAAAAATAATTTCAAATTACGGATGCAATAAGATGTTTCGAAGTACAGTTATATTAAATTATCTATGAAAAGTATAATTTTATCACCAAGAAGTCTCTAACTTACCGACGATATTGTTGCCATGCTTCTTAGAAATTTTGAAGTTCTCTGCGATCTTCGATCGCTGTTATAGTTAATTATTGATTGATTTTTTCTTTAACAAAAATAAACGCACGACATTTCAAATAAATCTTATCAGCTATTGTTTTGCAAGAGGAAGTAGTAGAAATATTGCAACGATAAGCCCGTGCACATATGTGATATAGACATTTGTTTCTAATATGAACACTTTATATTTATTTTTCCCTTCATGACGAAATGAGACTGCGTATTATTATACATTTTTTGAAAGGTTTATATGATGAATAATCATTCAAAATGAGCGTAGACAGTTTTGAAGTTTATAAAATTATTAATTTTCTATTAATTTCACATTTACCCACAGGAACTGCCGAATTGATGGTGTAACCCCCCCCTCCCCCGGGCTTATGAGAATTTTATTACACACAGAAACCTATCAAAATTACAGTATTTCCTATAATTAGTCTATAATTCTTATATTTCAATATCTGATATCATTTTCAGCTTTTGTTAAGATTTAGAGATTGGCCCTATACGGTATATATAGTATTTTTATATACCGTAGAGGAATATTGAGGGTAAAGAGATTAGTTTAACTTTTTTCTGTAGTAAAATATTATACATGTGTATTGAAAAAATAGTTAACCCCTTTGGCCCCATCCTCTGTTCCTGTAGTCACTTTGAATATTCATGTGCCATTTTTTCTACAAGATGTTCAATATCAAGTAAGAAAGCCATGACTGTCAAGCATTTACGTGAACTATGTCACAACTTTCTGACTATTTCATCTGAAATTATGTAAAATCCAATCTGTTTATTAAAACATTCAATTCAGTCTACTTCATATTCAGTAAATCTTTGAAACGGAAAAGTTCACTTGAGCCTTTGGCTAAGATGAGCTAAGAAAAGGAATTCGGGAGAAATAACAGTTCAACTGTGCACCAAAAACGCACTTAATTTTGTATACCGTTTCATTTATTCAAAATTAGTTATAAGGTACAAAGTACAGAATCTATTCTCACCTTTTTCATACAGATGAATTGTAATATATCAATTCTGCAGACATTTAAGGCCATAAACGTGTCTATAAGAAGAGAAAAGATAACACTGAATACTGATTTTGCTTATAAAGATTACATTATACATGATTCAGTTGTCAGCACAAATTTGTGCATGATAAAAGGAAATAAAAATAGTCGGGAGAGCACTTGCTGGGGGAAACACCAAAATATATTTCCAAAATTGAAATAATCGATGATTTCACAGCATGTTCAACCAATCCACGTCGGTTATTTTATTTTTTACGTATGATTTATTTTTAGTTTTCTTTATCTTTTTATAGAAAAAAGAAAACAAAGCAAAAAGGAAAACATATTCATTTACGAACAAATTAATTTTTTGATAAATTAAAAATGTATCGTGTTGATGTACATAGGATAATCTATTCACAAATATAGCAGCGAGTAGGTTTTTGTAAAAGAAAATAAGTATACATAATTTATTTATTATATTTCTACATATACAAGACCTTTAGAAAAACGTAAATGAAAATATTGTTTTCACGTAATGGACGGAATTTTCCATGAATTTGAGCATGATTCCTACCACCTCGTACCATATATTAACATGCATTTCCAGATACGTACAATGTGGAAACTCCCTTATTAATAAGTTTCAAAACATTTCAAAAATTGACTGGAAAAAACGTGCCCGAGTATCTTTCATTAATACATATCAACCCTAGTAATGATACAGTTTGCTGGTTTAGCTAGTGTGGAGACGGACCATTGGTTATCTTGTGTGATTTGATGAAATAGTATAATTAATTTATCACGAGAAGTGAAATTATTGGCAAGTCTCGCTTTGCCAAACACATTGTTTTTTATTATCATCCCATTCTAAATGATCAGTAGAACAATTTCTCTGATATATATAATTATTTGCACATGTCACGTAGCCGTGACAAGTGTCACATGACTGGTAATCCCCGTCAGCGACTCTCAAACAGCTGTCTACGCATTCCCCGGTAGTGACGTTTAAACTGTTATTTACACAGCCACCTGAAATACGAAAAATCGACATATTGATACCTTATAACATTTTCCCGTGATTGTTTTCAATCTCTTGTTTTTTAAAGACAAAGACGCGGCTACATCATGATCAGTGAAATATACTAGTAATCAAAATAATGAATAATAAAGAAAGATCAGATCGTTTTAACATCGTTCATTAAAGAAAGAATAAGCATACCTCCAATACTCGATTGAATGACTGTTTTCAATTCATTTTTAAGTTCTTTAAGTACATCT